CCAAATGGTTGCCGGATTTGGAACCAGGGATATATAGTTATCAATCTCACCTCGGTAAAGTCATTTAGCGGTTTCAAAATGTGAGTTAGGGTCAGTAAAGGCCAAACATGGGGACATGGTGCATTACATTTCATTACATGCACAATCGTATTAAAATATGTTATGTGGTTGATGGAATGGTTACTTGTGATATAAATGTGATAAAGACTCCAATGCATGATCCCGGTTTTCTTTTATCTCTAGAGTCCAAAGTTGACTCCATAGGCAACTTTTACTGAGCCTCTGTGTTCACCTTTTCCTTTAATATTTTTCAGGTCATGGCAAGGAGGTAGTTGACGACCTTCCTCCGTAAGGGTAGTTCCAGTTGAAGAATTCCTTCTTTTGCGACTTTTGTAACTTTTATACTATATGGCATTTTTGTAAACTTTGAGCCAAGTACGGTATTCTTTTGCAAAAGCCTAGATGGCAATGTAACCTATTATTTTGGAGTATGTAAATATCACCCTAAGCATTATTTTTGTAATATTATGAAATTGATGAATGTTTGGGGATGACGTAGTAGTTAAGGGGTTTTTACGTTATTTTGTGTTGGACAATGTATATGTAGGATGTGTCCGATCTTCATTTTATGTTCATGCATGCTTTTGGTTCATTTAGGATAGGTTTGAGTCTAGTTTGAGGTCACCCTTGATGCCATGGGGACATCCGATGCCTTAGGTACCTAGAAAAAGCCTATTTTTCACCTCACATGAAGCGTGAGCCAATTGGTGACTCAAGCCAGCCGGCCGACAGTTTATTTTTGCCAAAACAGAGAGTTGACATTATTGAAAGGTTGTTTCGGCCGACTGACCATCTCTGTCAGCCGGCTGAAACAATGCATCAGCCGGTTGACGCCTACAATGCACCAGAATTTTTAGCAGACTTCAAACAGTCATAACTCCCTCAATTCTTATCCAAATTGGGTCAAATTTGAGTCTAAATTCAAGGATTTTGAATCATATTTCCAATGATACAAATTTTATTCCAAAATTCTAACCGTAGAGGAAGTGAAGGCCATTGTAGTGCAGACTACTTCGGAAATCTTTCAAACCGTAAAGTCTTTCAAACCGTAAAGGCCTAATTTAGTGAGATCGTTGTCTTTGTGTCTAGAACCGTACCAAATGAGCTTGTATGGTTGTGATGACTTAAGTGGACTCCCATTGACTCATTTAGAGTTAAGATATTTCTCTCTTTCACTTTGAAATGACCTTTTTACCCTTCGGCAGTGTCGGGTCAAGTTAGGACCCAAACAGTGTTTCAGACCCTCCGATTTGGGTCGTTACAAAAACTATCATTAAATAAAACTTAAATAAAAACTCTTAAAATCCATAATCGTATTTATTACAACTCGAGAATCCCGTAAACCAGGGACCCTAAATCCAAACCCACAAAAATCCATCATCTATAAAGTAGTAACATAACCTACTCTGAAATAAAACTGAAAAATAGTGGATGAGCCCAATCGAACTATGATTAACTGAGTCTTTAACCCTGTGGACGAAACTATCTAAGACCTAAAATGACAACAAAATGTGGGTTAATTTCACACGCAAGTCCTCTCTATTATAGCACAACTACTCATAAACCCAACTTCTTTAATGAAAAACCCAGATAATAGGTAGGACATACTACATACCCAATACCCCTAGAAGATCACCTCATTTACATAAATATGTAATTGACATTTAAATACATAAGGAAATAGGCAACTCAACCATGCTTACTATCAAATTACGTACCCAACAACTCAACCATGCCTTAGCAAATCAACTATGCCAATAGATACTTGTGAGACTGCATTAATAGTCAGCCCACAATGGTTCCATAATACATTCCCATACTCATAAACATAGTAGACTTATTCTCATATCAAATCACTAAATTCAATCATGAAGAGTGTGATAAATATCAATTATAGCATAAATGACATGACATTTATTTAAACAATTCCCATTAATAATTTCGGTGTAGCACTAAGGTTCACGCAAATAAATCTAACATCCAACCTAGGGGTCCAGGGGGTGAACCCTGTATAAATAGTAGGCCTATGACGCCTACAATATATACATTCTCAAATAAAGTGAGAAAAATATAGATTTGACAAAAAAATAAATATATAAATAAATAAATAAATTTCAAACTATTGCGTTTAAGTGTGAGTTTTATACTTTCAGTTTATCGAAAGGAGATAAATACATAGGGTCATGAAGAGAAGTGCAACATTCATGAACATACAAATTTGATATATGGGTTTAGTTGAATCCCGAATATAATGCTACCATTTGTCTTCCTTTTGCACGTGGGAGAGGCGTCAACTATCTTCAAGAAGCGATTACGCACTTCTAAGCCTCGATACTCACTATTTCAATCTATTTGTTCTAACATGAAGGAGAGAAATAAAGAAAAAGTGTGTTAGTGACGCGTTTCTTTCTCTAATTAATTTTCTCCCGAATCTTTAAAGCATGATTTTTGTAGCTTATAAGGGAGAGCTCGTCATTGTTTTTACTCGCATTCGCGGTAGCATGCCCTTTCCAAATAGAAGGAGGGTGGATTTTGAACTGAATTAGACGAAAACAATAGTGATTTTGCATCACTTTGTTGTTGAATAGGCATCCAAATTTAATTTTCAGCAAAATTGTTAATGAAAGTCATAAACCATCAACTAAAATAAAAACCAAAATAAACAAATAATAATAATAATAATAATATAGTAAGAGCAATGCTATTCATGCAACCTACAACTTGGACTATGAAACTAAGAAGTTGGTTTCCAAAAATAACAGGGAGCAACTTACAACTTGGACTATGAAGACTTTGCCATTTTATATTTTACTGTGTATATGAGTTTAAGGGTCCAAATTCAATATTGGTTTGACAAATGTTTATTCCACCACCAAAAATAAAATAAAAAATAATAATATAACATGTAATGATTTTCAATCACGTGTGAGTAAAACCCTCCTAAAAAAATAAATAAATCATAAAAGATTATAAAGAAAAAGAAAACAAACAAGCTACAATTATCATATCTGAGTTGGGTATTTTTGGATTGGATCAATAGAGGTCAAATCCCTTCCTATTGTTATTTTGGATCCAAATAAGAGCCTAACCCACCCCATTCCAGCCTAGTTCATTTAAATTAAGCTTCGGCCTGTCCAGCTCATATCTATGTTGATGGTCTAGGCCTTACAACGATTAACCCAAGTTTGCAATAACTGAATAGACCCTGGTCTCTACTAGGACAACTTTTACACTTCTTATCGTGAAAATGATAGTACTTCTGTTATCATTAAAATGAGAGAGAGAGAGAGAGAACTTCAAATGACAAATCCGATTGTGCCCTTCATTCCCAATTCCTTATGTTTCGTTTGGTTGAATGGATAAAAAAAAATAGATGGAAGGAAGAGGGAAGGGATGGATGAAGTATACATAGGATGAAGTATTCATAGAGAAGGGAATGTGTATTCCTCATTTTTTATTTGATTAGACGGAATGATGAAATGATAGATGAGATGATACATTTTTTATTTTTTGTTTCCTTGAAGGAAGGAATAGAGAGTTTTTATAGTATTATTTTTTCTAATATATCTAGGAGGAGGCATTCACAAGTCAGGAGGTAATTGCCCCACTGATTTTTTTTTTTAGTAATATACTATATTAATTTACATTTTTAATATATATACATACAAATTTACACTACTGGCCCCATTGGAATTATTGAAATTACACTACCGCCCCCACTGGAATTATTAAAATTACACTATTACTCCATCTCACACAATTTTCTGGCTCTTCCGTGAATATACCCTCATTATTTCAAATTATATTTTTTTTATATCCATTCCAAATTTTTTGGAATGTTAGAAATGGAATATATATATTTGTGTTATTTATTATTTCTTGCTCTCTCCTCTTCCTACCAATTTTTGGCGGATAGAAAAATACAAACTTAATATGGATGTTTCATCCCTCCTTACTTCCTCCCTCTAAACAAACAGGAAAAAATTATTTGTCATTCAATCATCTCTACAACCAAACATAGCATTAGAGTTGCTTATATATAAGTGAGGCTAGATATAAAGGAGCAACCATTAATAGAATGAAAATGATACTTGAACTCGGCATTTTAGTCGAGATGCATTAGAGAAGAACTCATATGAGAGTCCCTTTCTATCACAAATGATTGAAGCCCAATATTTTTGCTAGAATGTTAGGCTTGAATAACACAAATCTTAATTAAATAAAAGCCATTCTCGATTTGTTAAGAATTTGATTTGTGTTCACTTATAAATTAAGTAAAAGATCCATAAACATTCAAACTCTTTTATTAATTTACCCAAGAAAAATAATTTTCTTTTACTAGATAAGCTCCAAAACATTCTCTTCAAGGGGCTTGAATTGATTTCTCTTTTATATCCAAATTTTAAATTTGATTTCAAGATTATCCTGGGTAATTAATTAAACGAGTTGGTCTGAATTTTTTTAGAAATTGACTAAAACCCGAACAATCAGAAATTTAGGTTCAGTTTGGTTAAGTGTAGCTTAATTATAAAAGATAAAAGAATTACCCATTTTTGTTTTTTTTGGGGAAACATCAATTTTTTATTTTTTATTTTTGTCACCAGCAATGTCTTGATTTGAGTGGCATGTCATTCCCTCTCTGTTTGAAGATTCAAATCCAAAGAAGGACACATGTTTGAATATAGTTACTTATAGATAAATAATAATAATAATACTACGTAATAAAAGAGGAGGCAAATTTCCTTGCCTAGTTGGCAGGCCAGACAACAGAAATTTAAGTAGTTTGGAAAATAACTTTTGAATTAGACTATGGGTTGCAATATAGTGTCGTGTTTAGGCCACGTCATCACATTATCCACACAAATTTAAGTGGTGTGAATTAGACTATGGATTGCAATATGACCTATATATTTTTACAAATATGTCCAGGAGGAGGCATTCAAAGCATGTTGAGGGTACTTGATGGGTAAGCTCTGTATTGTGTTTACAGGAATGAGTGGTGCCCCTAGCTTGACATGGATTCTGCAGGTCCACATGACCCCAAAAAATTGCAGCTCCAATTCTCATCTTCCTGCATCCACACACCTCTCTCTCTCTCTCTCTCTCTCTCTCTCTCTCTTATTCTCTAGTTTCTCTCTCTTCCAATTTCCAGTCACATTCTAGAGAGAGAAGATGATGGTGGTGAGGAGGGAAAGAGAGTAGTGGAAGGAAAAGGATGAGTTTGTTATGCAGTCCATGGCCTGTCATTTTGCTCACTATGCATTTTCATCCTCACCAAACAGAGATTACTGTTTTATCACCAAATGCTGCAATTTCAAGCCCTCAAAGCCTTCCTCACCTGTTATGCTTTCTTCCCTCAGTGACAGGAGACCCTCTTACAATACCCTTGTCTTCCAGGTTCTCTCTCTCTCTCTCTAAAATCTTGAAATGTTATTTTGTTTTGTGTGGTGTTATTTGACCTCTTTATTTGAATAGTTCTTTCTCTAACTTCAAATCCAATTGGTGGTAGCAAATTTACAATGTCATATAGAGGACATTAGATATATATATATATGAAGAAATACATATTATGTGTAAATTTACAGGCATTCATCATTTGGGGTTCCTAGCATGCCAGTATCACTTGGTTGAGTTTTTATTTTTCTAGATTAACTTTTTTCCTTTTTTTCTATTTATGGAGAAATTTGCATTTTCCTTTTTTGGTGGCTAAATCACACCCACACAACAATTTTTGTCCGATTCGAAACCCGAGCCTCTGAGTTTTCTTTCTTTTGGAATGAGGAAGAGATACTACTTGGACTAAGCCCTTATGCTGTTGCATGAAGATTGAAAGTGTGGAACAAATTCTAGTTAGAATTGTTATATTTTTTGGGGAAAGAAATAGGAAGTAGTGTGAAAAAAGAACAATTTTTTTATGCAGCACCATAGATTTGTGTGGAAGACAATCCATGAAATGGTTCGACAATTCACCAATTGGCCTCAGAATTAGAAGTTTAGAAGAGCATTTAAATTTTGCATAAAATAAATTGTTTAATTGTTCAAAATCAGAATGGAGGACTGGTTCCTTTTGGATTTGCAGAAATTATTTCCTAAGATATACAAATGAGCAATGTGGAAGTTTTCTAGAACCATTTCCTGCATCAACAATTTTAAAAGAAAATATACAAAAAAAAAAGATTCCAATGCAGGGTTAGCTTAAGATTAGGAATACCAGAAAAAAGTAATTAATATTCTAACATAAAAATAATAGAAAAAAGAATTTATCCAATTAAGTGAACGCGTTCATGGCAACCGAGAAAATTTGAATGTCTCTTTTACATGCTTTTCTCCCTCAACCATAACTTCTACCTATTGGAAACCAAGAAAATGTGTGGTCTTAGATAAGCAAAGTAGGAAATAGGATTTGTATAGCCAATCTCAAGTAGTTGGGATAAGACTTTGTTGAGTTGAGTCGAGCTGGAAGCGTAGAAATTTTCAGTTGAAAAGTTTAAATTATTAAAGATAATATTAAGATTGTTACTATTGTGTATTCTACAATTAATTGATTTAGTGAATCTGCCACAAACTAAAGAACACAAGGAAAGAATCCTCAGAGTCTCAGACTAACATCTTCCATTGTTGACAGTACAATTTATTTATTCTGAAAAATCTATGTTCCTCTCTTTCGAGGACTTTAAAGGATGAAATGAAGGCTAACCAAATAACCTTGTTGCTTTTGCTGCTGCTAGAAATCCAAAAATACCTAACATACTCCATCTTGGCCTCATCATCACCTAGGCAATACGAACATTAGTCTCATATTTGACTTACCGATTCTTAACTAATCGACCTTCTGTTGAACTATAATCCCTTGCCATTAAACAAAGCTTGACGGAAAGTGTGGTAAACAATAGCATATACTCTTGTTCTTTTACCTTCTCTCGAAAGAAAGTTGACCAACTTCTTGATCAATTGTTTTTGCTCACCATCCAAGCCCCCCATGTAGCTGAGGATTTCGTTTTTTTGAATGTTAATTTATTTGTAGATTCTTAAAGGCTATATTGAGATAGTATATTTACAATTAATTTCCTGTATTTTTCGGCAACGCTTCATTTCTTTCCATGTTATTTCTTTAGTGAAAAATTAAAAATAAAAGGTTTTGCTCCTAGGGACATGACATGCCTCAGAGCTGCAACTGTTCCAATGTTGTCACACTTTAAAGAAAGAGTCAATTAGTAGAAAATTAAATTGGTTGGATTAACACAATTTCAGTTTCCAGTGCCCATTCCCTAATACATCATGTAAAGAATAATACTTTTAGAAAAATGGTAACATGTCGAGTCTTTATAAAAACAATTTCTGCCCTGAACAGTGGCGTTGTCAAATCTTCCATTCCTTCGTAGATGCTGGGCAGCTAGCCAAACCACGTAAATCTTGGACCGTTGTCGTGTCTTTGTATTATTCTTAATTACTTTCGTTGTTGATCATGTGTTTTGCACGCAACAAAACACAAAGAGCTGAAATTCTACAGTCATTTTATTTTGATACAAGTTGCAAACTGTGGAAATTTTGCTCACTAATTTCCAATTTGGTCTGAACTTTTGTCTTGTGGTTGCTTTTAGGCTGTGAGGCTTTTGGGTCCTCCAGCACGATTTGAAGCTTCGAAGCTGAAAGTTGTGTTTACGGGAAATAAGATGGATAAGTATGCTAGAATTTTGCCAAGAACCTACACCCTCTCCCATTGTGATTTTACAGGCAATCTAACATTGTCAATCTCAAATGTTATCAGTCTTGATCAGGTACCAATTCTTACCATTTATATATATATATAATTATATATTCAATAATTCAAGTGAAAATTATTATTTACCTCTTTGCTTTACAATTTACCTACCTGATGTCAATGCTGCACAAATAATCAATTTAGCTTTGATTGTCCAAAAAGTTTGTATAGCTTTACGAAGAGCATGCCTTTGGAGGTCTTCTTTAAATGTTCGTGTTATGCATGTTTCCATGGCAGTTGAAAGGGTGGTACAGTAAGGATGATGTGGTCGCAGAGTGGAAGGAAGTGAAAGGGGTCATGCATCTAGATGTCCATTGTTATGTAAGTGGGCCTAATCCCTTACCAGACCTCGCTGCAGAGTTTAGATACTACATTTTCTCCAAGGAGTTGCCTTTGGTAAGTTCATCTTATTATGATGCTGACAAACAGTTATTCATGGTTCCATTTAGAAAGCAGTGGCAACCCCAAGAGATCCAAATGTTATTAAACGATTACCATGCCGACACATTAGTGACAGCAAGCAATTAATCAAGTGTTACATAACTCCATCTATCTGATCCGTTCAATGACTCAGAGAGAAATTTTTGAAAATGGGCTAGCCCGGTGCACAAGACTCCAGCCACTGCACGGTTTGGAGAGGGCGAGATATTCTCCACACGTGAACATGTTGTTTCTCATTTCGACCTGACCTTTAGGTTAAAATGAACAACCTCACTGTTGTGCCAAAATCTGCCCTCATATTTCTGAAAATTCTACCTCAAAAAATAATCCTAATAATAATAAAGAAACCTTACCGGTCATTGAGTATATACATTATAGAAAACACTGTCTACCCAATTCCCATTTACATCAAGCTAATTCTTATATATAAACCTTATCACTTCTGATAACAGCTATGGATTTAGTAATTGTACGGAGGAAAGAGTAAGCACTTTTGTGTTTACTGTGCAAGCTTCACGTCAACTGGTTATTAACTTATAAAGCTAAGCTGTTACACATCAAAATTTTCCGTGGTGTTGATTTATGATGGACAATAGATGGATATAATACAGCGGAAATGAGCGAATTTGATATTAATTTGATATCACCATTTATGTTTATGATAGTTGAACCGATGATGTTTATGATATTACTACATCTTCTGACTATGTTCAATGCTCTTACACAGTTTGTAGAAGATTGGCTTCCAATCATATTCTACTTGAACCTTACATTGGCAATCATGGAGTTTAGTGTTAATAACTTCTGGGAATCCTTCCGTGACTTCCATCTCAGCCAAAACTCGAACATACAATCCCCGTTCACGACACAACTTAATATCATCCATGTATAAAGGTTTTGCAATATTCGAAACTACCTTTGAAATAGAGGTACCACTACGTGCATGCACTGGTAGATCATATAAGTTCATCCAAACCGGCACCGTAGCTAATATATCTCGTTCCAATAGTATACTCTTATGCCACTTCTTGACAATCACTGCTCTCCCCTGATAAGTATGCAACCTTGACATGATTTGCACTACATCTTCATCGTCTGGTAACCGAACCTGAAAAAATCCGTCTTTGAGTGAAACCACAACTGCACTCTTATTCCACCTATTCTGAACGTAACTCTTGAAGTGGGGATAATAGGGCTTGGACCCTAGTACGTAACATACCACAGAGTTCTCCCAATATCGCATCTCATCTTCAATATCTTCATCTTCAATGATCACACACTCCGTGTTCCGAATCTCACTGTAATATGTTAAGGGAGTAAACCCTGATTTAGCAGATCCATGGAATAGAGAACTCCATGAAGGGCGAGTAGGAGGGGAAGTTGTTTGGATTGGGACACCATCCATGGCCAAAGAGGAGGGGAGGCCCTCCTCCATTGAGGTTGTCTTCCCTGCAAAACCCTAGGTAACCCTAAAGTTTAAAAATCGCCTTTCTAGAGAGAAATTTTTTTCGAAACAGCACAAATTTGATAAAAATATACTAATAGTAATAAATAAACCTTACTGGTCATTGAGTATATACATTATAGAAAACAATGTCTACCCAATTCCCATTTACATCAAGCTAATTCTTATATATAAATTTTTATTACTAGCACTAAGCACTTCTGAGAACAGCTATGGATTTAGTAATTGTACGGAGGAAAGAGTAGGCACTTTTGTGTTTACTGTGCAAGCTTCACTTCAACTGGTTATTAACTTATAAGCTAAGCTGTTACACATCAAAAATTTTCGTGGTGTTGATTTATGATGGACAATAGATGGATATAATACAAAGGAAATGAGCGAATGTGATATTAATTTGATATCACCATTTATGTTTATGATAGTTGAACAGATGATTTTGGGCTAAATTAAAATCATTTTGTGTCACAATCCAGGTACTTGAGGCTGTGGTGTGCGGTGATTCTGTACTTTTCAGAGAGCATCAAGAATTGATGGATGCTATAGTTCGGGTTTATTTTCATTCTAGTTCAAAGAAGTACAATCGCGTCGAATGTTGGGGCCCTCTTAAAGATGCTGCAAAGGTAACTTAACACTGCATTCATGATTCAGTATGCATAGACACAAAATTTATACCACATTTGCCTTTTTGATTATCACACTCAGTAGGCAATCCAATTACTTTAGAGTATATCTTAATTGAAGTCATCCAACCATGAGCATAAGCTCATTTTTATACTGGTTTTACATTCAAAATTTCTATGTGAAATGTATGTAATACAAATGAAAAGTCTATATTGATCTATAAATTTACTTACCAGGGAAAACGAGAAGATCAAATCCATGATTTACTGAGTGGAAGTAAGGAAAGTTCCCATCCTTCCAAGAACTGGGGAAGTCCAAAATCGATCTTCCAAGCTCTTGTCACCTTCCTTCTTTGAATATTATAAGTACAGCAACAGTTCATCTGCAACTCTGATCTGACTCCTCCAATGCTGGTATATACTTCGAGCACTGGAGTTCATTGAGCTTTTAAATTGGGAAATTCAGCATTTTAACATTTCCCATCTCAAGTTGCATACACACAAGGATTATTTTCAATATCATTTGATTCTTTTGTACTTATCATGAACGGGAATCTTGACTCAAAATTCTTGTAATTCAAGACACTTTTCATCCATCAATTCATTGCTGATCTACATGTATTGTTTCTTTTTTGATTCATTTCCTACATTCTGATCCTTAGCATGCGTTAGATATAACCGGAAGGAAAAGGAAAAAAAAAAAAAAAAAAAGAAGATGACATTAGTGATCAAAAAAAGAAGGAAAGAACCGTGTTTCAAAAAGATAGTGGAGAAAAAGAAAGGAAGTGATTTTTTTATTTTGGGAGTGATAAATACAAAATTAGAATCCACTTGTTATTAAATGGAATTCTGTTGACACCAAGGGGGGGGGAGGGGTGAATTGGTGTGTAAATTTTTTCCAACCTTAAGCTTACTTCCATAAACAAAACTAGTAGTAAAATCAATACATTCATTTAAAAGGGAGATAGAATAGTGGAGGGCTTGGCTAGACATATGAATGATAGAAAGATGGACCCGTGTAGGCAGGGACGGAGCCCTAGGTTAAGAGGAAGAATAGTATTGCATTTGAATTGGGCTAAGAGAAAGAGTAGTGTTGCATATGGACCGAGTTGTGAACTGATGTACAGTAATACTAGTTTTTTTTTTTTTTTTTTTTTTTGACTTGGGCTATAGCCCAGGTTAGCCCTTAAGTAGCTCTGCCCTGCTTGTAGGGTTCTAAATCACCCAAATTCTACCGAGATAAGAGTGATCATAGTTATGAATTAAAGACAAGTGATATAGTGAATAAAATTAATGTTGGTTGGGTTAACTTTGGTTTCAACAATTCCTACCACATCAAGTTTATAGTCTTTGATAAAGATTTCTATTGATGTATATAGATTTGTAAGGCCCAAAAAATGTTCCTCATAGCTGCAGTGAGGTAGAGAAAAAGAGGGCGGGGTGGATGGGATGTAGCAGCAGCCACTCAAATGGTAGGACCTCGAGGGGTTTTTTTATTTTTTATTTTTCACAATAGTCTACCCTTGGTTTGTGTACCAAAAGATAATACTGTAGAGTTATGATGAATGTGGCCAAGTTTTACATTTAGAAATTGTCACTACTACCTTCCACTAAAAATATAGTTAGGGCAAGTAGGGATCGTCTCAAGGGATTGGTGGCTCGTACTAGATTGAGAAATCAAGATTAGGGTTAGTAGGTCGAGTGATCAAAAGATTGGTTGGTGGTTGAATTACACCAAGATGCAATTTAAACTAAAGTAGGCAACTAAATGTAATGGAGAGAAAATAAGAGAGAGATCTTGGGATTTAGAGATCACCACTAAGCATAACTTTTCTACACGCTTAATGAATGATTAATGAGGGGGAAAACATGTATTGCAACAAAGTATGTGTGTGTGGTTGTTTCAACAAGCATGGATGACAAATTAAGCATATATTGTCTAAACAACATGGTGGATAGCACAACATATCAAATTAAGCCATTAATCATTTCTTTAAGCTCACAACCAAACACACCACAAGGTTAGAGATATATGCTACTTGCTTTCATAAGTATGGAACATCAAACAACAAGCATGGATTGTCCTCCCATTTAACATCTAAACTACAACTACACTACAATTAAGCTAATGACATGAAATTAAACTAATTAAACTAAGGGAGAGGTACAAGCTATCAAGAAATGAGTATGAACCATTAAATAAACCACAAGAACATTCCATTAAGCACTATGCCTTGACAATATCTAAATCTATAGCATTAATACACATAGACATACATTAATAACACAAGAAATAGAGACAAACACATAAACATCTATTCTAGCATACATAGACATATAGATAGAATGAAATGATCAATTGGAAGCATTAAACCATATAAATCATTGAATAAACAAGATCTATATATATACAAGTGTTAAAACATGTATCACAATACAAATCCCCTCAAAAATACGTAAATCAAGATGTCGAAAGCATGCTTAGGGCTAATTCTAGCCCCAAGAGGATGTCTAACCACTCATTGATGGTGTCCTCCAACCCTCAAGGGCTAACTCTATGGTAGAGATTGCTCCTCTTCTTGGTTCATGGAAGAACTCCAAGCTTGTGTCTCTAGCCTCCTCCTCTCCTTTCTTCCTTGCTGAGGTATGAAAAATTGTGCCTCTCAAGTGTATCCAAAATCTCTCAAGCTCTCCAAAAGTATATCTCAAAAAGTGGTTCATATTCCTTATATAGGTAGGTCAAATATCACCCCAAATGAGCTGGGCTCGTACATCAACATTCCTCCAATGATTGGATATAAGACAACTTTTAATGAGCTGAAATTTGGATTTTCTAGGGATTTGGGAAGTTCGATCGATCAAACTTGTGGTGAGATCGATCGAACTTGTGGTGAGATTGATCGAACTTGGCTGAGATCTATCGAATTGAAGCTGGATCGATCCTCTATGGTGGCGCCTTTTTGGATAAAAACAAATATGAGATAGTTTGAAGATATTTTTGGGAAAAGGACAAAAGTGGTTGGTAGGGTAGTATAGCTGGATAAGATCTAGCATGTCGATAAGGACAAGAAAGTTCGATCGATCAGAGAATCAAGTTGGATCGATCGAACTTTGAGATCTTTGAATAGGGACAGACATGGCTCAGATCCATCTTGAAGTTCTGAGATCGATGAAAGTTGGATCGATCGAACTTTTCTTGAGATCGATCGAACTTTTCTTGAGATCGATCGAAGTTGCTGAAATTCCACAATTTGCTTCCTTTTGCTCTACTTTGCTCCTTTCTTTGATTCATCCCAGAATTGCTTCATTTCTGCTCTTATTTGGCTGAGTTAGCTTATTTTAGGGATAAGTACCTAAAAATGAAAATAATACAAAATCAATCTAAAGTAAGAAAATAAGATAAATAAATATTCTAGAATACCTAAGCTTAAGGGGTTTAAATGCGCACTTTTTAGCGCTCATCATACCCCCAAACTTAAATATTGCTAGTCCCTAGCAATAAAGTAGAAAGTAAAGGAATGAAATGAACAACTATACAACTATGAACTAGAAAGCAATAAATGGATAATACCACTTTCGTAGGGAACACGATTGCATTTAGCATATGCAACAAGCCTTTTAAATCCCTAGGTTACCCCTAGTGGACGAGTGAAGTCTTGTGAGGGTTTCCAGAAATGATACCCACAAACATTAAGCTCATTCTTTCAAAAGAGGCACCAATATTGCAAACAAGCATTGGGAGAAAACTAACTCAAGTATGCAATTTTTCAAACATTTCCAAGCAATCTCCCAAAATTTCAACATCAAGCAAGCAAGTATGGTCCTCCACACATCAAGAAAATGATCATGAAAATCAAAACAACTCTAGAATCCTTTTTGAGTGGACCGGTATCAAGTATGTTGCTATCTTAGCCAACTAAAGAAATGATTACATCCTTAACCTTAAACTAGCACACAAATCTAGTACCAATCATCAAAACAAAAAGTGAACCTTTTATTAAAGCTTTATTGTTCTAGGTACACTTATTCTTTTCACTCGATTTTTTTTTTTTTTTTTTAAGATCAAAGATGGAAGCATGGTGCAATGTGTTGATCTATTAAGCTTTCTAGCAATCCATGAGGTCGAGCGTTAGGTCAATGACTCCCAAACCAGACGGCTTTAGGGCACTAGGTGTTCAAACACCCCTAAGGACTTACAAGCTCAAATCAACTAGGCTACAAATCAAGACAACCTCCATCTAATCATTTCCCACTTCTCACCTTTTTGGGAGAAGTCCTCACTTTTTTTCTTACTTTTGCAACTTTTTCTTTTCTTTTCTTTTTTTTTTTGTATTTAATTATTAACCTAAAGTTTGGGCCCTCCACTTTTCGGTGTGAGAAGTTCAGTGCTTGATGAGGCTAGAATCCCGGCTACTTAGTGAAAAAGGGGTTGTTATCCACCTTTATCAAGAATGAAAGCTTTCAGTGCACTACTAGCCCAATTGGGATATAACCAATTCAATAATCAACAAAGCATATACCCCACAAATGAATGCTAGTGTGCGCCTGTGCTAGTGTAGAATCCTAAAGTGAATCTCAAAACAATCACAAAATCAAAATGATATAGACCACAAGTACAAGCATGATATCAATCTTTTGAAAAATTTACCCCTAAATGGCATCCACAAGGCATACAAGGAGTATTGGACTCTCAAGTCAATCAATTTTAAAATTCTAAGCAATATAGTCCTCAAAAAATCAAAATCATAGCTAGTTATGGACCAATCATAGAAAATCCCTCAAATACACAAGTCGTGCTAAAATTTTTGAAATTAAAGCAAATACTGCAAATCACATTATTACCCCCAAACTTAAATGGCACAGTGTCCTCAATGTGCAAAGAGAACAAAAGGAAAGAGTATATCAGTACAACTATAGCAAAGATTAGCCGGGACAGGAGTATCCAAAGTAGGTGGCATAGCCCCCCCAAACTTGGGATAAACTGTGGTCCTGAAATTTTGGTACTTGGATAAAACTCATCAGCTAACAAAAGGGATAATAACAGTGCATAGTGGACATGCAAGTGTAAATGGGATAGTAATTGAAAATAGAGAGAGGTATAAGGGTGGTCCTGAAAATTTTGGGCAGTACTCTCTCTCACTGAAGTCACTGGGATGCACCTGATGGAGTCAGTCACAGATAGATATATCAATAGAAGAATATGACATCCAAAAGATCATGGATAAAATAGAAAAACAGAATAAAGTACAGTACATCTAGTGAGATATCAAGGCCAACAGACTGGTCACAAAAATAATATAACCGTATCAAAAATATGCAGATATCACAGATATATAAGAGGAGTAAGAAGATACGGACATCATGAAAAGGAGGTAGGAAAGGCAGGGCGCGCTCCGCGGATGTCTCTGGATAGATCTCTGAATGCAGTCATGACATCCGTGCGGAGGGAAGCAATGTCAGCTCTAATGGAGACAGTCCCTGCGCAGATAGAGACTACAGCATCCTCCAAAGCCTGGAGTCGTTCTCCAAAGCCGGGTATCTGTGCTGGAGCCTCGGGTACCACTAGAGCGGGAGAATAATGATCCTGAGCCTGTTCCTCATCATGAATGGGCGACCCAGCCAGAGAGTGATGCTTCTGGT